GCGAGTTTTGTTGAGGAACTAGATTTTAGATAGTTGAAACTAGTTTTAAGATAGCAATAAACTAGCAATAAGATATGATCATTTTTGTAAGGGAAGGTTGTGCTCTGACAAAATTGTCGGGAGCCCAAAGGATCAAAAGCTTTGGATCTATGATGACCATAATCATGACAACTCTTCTGCACAAGCCAACATTTTCATGCCTGCTAACAATCCAAAAAATTAACAATTTAAAAAGTAAGTTGCTTGGGGCCACTAAGCTAATAGGTATAACACAGGCCTGGAGTAGCATAGCGTACCAAAACCACTGAAATGCCAGGTAGCTACTATCATACTAGGTACTTTATCAGGGACTGTTATAGGGAAAAAACAAAAACAAAAGAATACTGTCTGTGAACTCTCTTCCCACAGAGTCTGTGTCAGTTGTGAAAGATTTGGGGATCCAGTTTACTAGAGCAGGTGCCCTTGGGCTACAAACAAGTAAGTTTATTGCACAACATAGTGTTGTTGATGTGATAATTAATAAAGTCATTGCCATGGTATGTACAATATTATTAATTTTACTCAATATTATTTATGTCTCAGTCATTAAATAAATTACAAAATCTTTGTTGGTTTGAAATCCTCATGTTTTGCTCCAGAAAAGATCTAAAATAACATGTAACAATACTAGTGCTTACATTTTCAGAACATAAATGACGTATGTACTATAAAATAACAAAGAGTCATGCCAACCTCTGGAGATCTAAACTATGAAGATCCTCTCCTTTGCATTATCCCCCCCCCCAAAAAAAATGACCAAGCCCCTCACTAGCACTACCAGTGACCACCACCACCAATTAAGCACAAACCGACCCAGCCTGCAAATTATAGTGGGAATGCCTTAAGAATTTATATCAAGTCTTACCTAATGCACAGACCATCAAAACTTGCTTTTATGTATGGACAAAGTAATCAAAATAATATAACGACAAAAAAATCAATACGTGCAAAAATGCCCCCAAAACCGTACGACATTATATGAATAAAAAATTATGAATTTTGGAGGAACATGGGCTAAATTCCAAACTAATGAGAAAAGCTCAAAAGTTGATTTCATCCGAGAGATTTGGTAACCTGATGGGAGATTGAGAGATTCATGATAAATTACAGAAAAACCCCACCTGAATAGTAGAGTACTGGCAATGAACTATTGTCCATGTTAGTGAATGATGTACCGAAGGGATAGGTATAAAATTGCGACAACTTGAGCTGTTCTATAACAGTTGATCTAAGAGACGATTAAAAATATTGTATAAGTGGATGATTAATATATAAGAGATAATAATTTACAAGTGAGTATTAGGTTAATATAAGTGTCCCTATAATTAGTTGTAATAATAATGTTAAAAGTAAAGCAGTTTCCCTGGGCAATCATTTTTTTAGTTAATTATTCTTATAATCTTTTTCTTGTGATTATGATTTAGTGCTGTTTAAAAATTAGCAGGAGTGTTTTCGCTTCGCCTCAAGTTTTTAACTCTGATAATACATGACTGCAAGTGTTTTGAACAGTTTCAAAATCTCTGATATAGATCAACATGTTCTATGTAGCACTAAAATCTTGTTCTGGGGCTAGTTTGGTCTAAAAAATTGGACATAAATTTTATATTTGGATTTTGGATATAAATTTTATATCTTCATCAGATATGAAAACACTCATTTTTTTTAATGATTTATCCCACGCGCCATGTTCCACTAAATAATCAATAAAGTCACTATTGTAGCAAAAGTCTAAAAAGCTTCAGTGTTAATTTGAAAAAAGAAAGTTTAAACCTTTGGTAAAATACTATTTGAACAGAAAATATTAAAAATAACATGCCATAATACTAGTGCCTACAGTTGTAGTAAAGTCCGAGTGTACACCATTATAATGGTGGATGCCGTACATAGTATACCATAATTAGATGTAGTGTAAAAGTATCCTGAGTTCTCAAAATTGTTAAGTGTAAAATCATACATGTAGTTACTATTTTATTTTTACTGCACCAAGTTGTGTTTTATTTGATGCTACTGATGCATGGTCATGAAACACAATATAAATTATTAGAGAAAAATCTGCTAGTTGTCCCACTGTTCACGGTAACTATCTTTATTAAGTTATAGATGAGTACTCTTTGGTTATTAGATAGTGGGTAGCAAGAAAAGTACACATTTACCAAGTTAGTTATAATAATCTCATTTTCACCTCTCATCATTTTAAAGTACACACAAGCCACAAGGCCCACACTAACACTCAGGTTCTCCTCAGGTTCAGTTGTGAACCTGAGTACTTTAACACTGTAGCTATTACAGTATTAAACTGGATTAAGAGTCACATTTCCAGGATTTGGTGGCATTGTTATGCAATGTTTTATGGAGCAGTTCTCAACTAGATACCAAAAGCTTAACTACACCATAGCAACACAGGGTGCATAGTGTTACCTGTGAGCCGTATATTTATTATGATCTTAGAAACTACCATAAAAAGCAATGGAATATAATGAAATACTAAAATGAACAAATCTACACTTTAACTTAACTACTGTACACAAAATAACAATAATATTATAAAAGAGCTCTCTAATTTTAATTGCCCTTTTATTATTATCATGAAACTATTATTATTATTGTTGTTGTTATTATTATTATTATTATTTCTTATTACTAACTATTATTTTTTAATTGTTGTAATTTATTTAAAATTTGTATTTCAGCACATAGCACTTAAGTTTTCCATCCTGAGAAAAAGTTGACCTAAAAGCATGTGTGACAAATGACAAACAAATGTGAATTACTTACCTTGCATAATTGGATAAACTGCTTTGTGATTGTACGGTGACTAGTATTAGCTGAGGGCAATGGCATAAAAGTGGTAAGAGCACTTACTTCCCACCAATTGGCCTGGTGTCAATGCCAGGTGACGGCTTAGTTTGAAGTTGGTTTTTATCCTTGTTCTGGGCCAGGAGGTTTCTTCTCAAGGTACCTCACAGACCAGAACCTCTAAATTCCAATCTAATTTAGAAACATGCACTCAACACATGCAAATGAGTTCTTCAGAGCTCTTATTAAATCTGGATGGCTGAACAAATTACATTATATTTTTTCTTTTTACCACTTTTTTCCAAGACCATGCAAGCTGTACTACCAAAATGAATAAATCAAAAGAGGTTTTATTTAAAACATCATGCCAGAGAAATTCACCTTGACAGACTCATTAGTTGTGTATTCTTCATATCATTCTCTGCAATTGATACTTGGGGTTGTAAAGTGGAGAATATCAAGCAGAGTTAATACAAGACAGTCCAGGGAGTAACTGCTTTTAAAAATCTTAAGGTCAGATTTAATGACTCATGTTCGACATTCATCCCAGTCAAGCTGTCTCTCAAAAAAGTACATTTTGCCAGGTGATGTAAACTTAAAAATTCAGGCGATTGATATATTATTATTTTAGTATTTTGTATGTTTTTATGTATGGCAAGACGCCATTAATTTTGTACTCAAGAATTCTATATATGAAAACAAACAAACAAATAAAACAAAAGCAGTTCGATAATTTCAGGTGAAAGACCCAATTCTATTTGGTAAAATAGTGTGAAACAGTAAAATAATGGTACTAACTGAAGGGGAAAAAAGTATTGTCGAGATTCTTTGACTGGTTGCATGATATACCTATGACAGTTCCAGACATGTGTATATATTGTTTAATTCAGAATTTTTATGGACACTGGCAGTGAAAGCGATGGGCTTGGTCAGTACATATAAAGTTACAGAAATATAACATGGGACACATTTTAAATTCTAATACGGTGGTTGTATTATTTATTATACATAACATTGATTAAAATACAGGAACGTTAAACATGACTTAACAATCCAAATCCTAAAGAGATCTACTAAGAGTAACTTTGTCAAAACTGCTTTTTGTGTTCAAATCTGTAATGAAGTAATTACCAGGCATACTATAAAATCAGTTAATATTTAAAAAGAAAATGACAATTCAAATAACCGAATAAAATGATAACATTAAAAGAGCCGATACTTTGTGTCCCTTATTTACTTTAATTTGTCATTAGTCGAATCCCGGTTTACGGACACCTGCTTAATACAGACACCTCGCTATTATGGACAGTTTCCCTTGTCCCTAGCTCTTAGCTCATATGTTTTCCCTAAATTTAACCCTCTTTAAGGACACTCCGTTAATACAGAATGTTAATTTTTTTAGTTAACTTATACAAAACTTTCCACCTCAAAAAGTCTTTTTGTTTTTACTCAGTTGTTCTATAAAACAAGGGACTCAACTTTCTGTTAGCCAAAGATTATTAACCAGCTGCTGTTCAGGAAATGCGCCTGCTCGAAGACTTGACTCGAGAAAACAGCGGAAACTAACCCTAGCTTTCTATTGGTTTTATACTGAGGCATAATCCCATATTCCAGCATGGCTTATTACACAAACCAGTAAACCTGTAGTATCATACGTTTCGATACAAGTTGTCTCGATACGACCCTCAAGCAGTTGTAAAATTAAACAAAAATTTTGATCACTTCAAGTATAGTTTTTGCGTGAACAAGAAAAACATATGGGTTGAATATTCTCTGTTTTTGAAGCCAAGCACAATAAGCTATTTACACCTCGACTGAGTAACTGGTATCCAAACGACCGGTAACCATTATTTGTGAAATGATGGTTCCCAAGGCGACTAAATATGGCAGGAAGAAAAACATTGTCTACTACAATTTTTTTCCTACGAATGCCAAGTTAAGGTATCACAATGTTGATTAATTACCATTTAAAGGTTTTAATTAATTCTACCTACGAAATGGCCGTCCGCCATTGTTAGATTCAACTAGACGATCAGTGATAACAGGTAGAAAATGGGAGGCAGTTATTGATATTTGTTGTCATCTCAAAGGCGAACGGCAGATAAACAAAAACCATAAGAAAAAGTTGTAAAGCTTGAGTGTCGTGTTCTGATGTCTGCTATCTATTAAGCTCTTTTTTCCACTTCTTCACTTAAAGTTTTGTAATCCAAATCGCCCTCATCGTTTGCTTGGAATTCCAGTGATAAACCAGTGAAGGACTTTTTGATGGTGTCTTTAGAAGATGCGTAAATCATTTTGTCACCAATCTTTGCATTTTCGTCACACCTGAAACAAAAAAAGGGAGATGAGATGAACCAGCTAAGTTAACCGGGCTGCCTCGGCTCTTTCCTTTTTTCCGTATAAAATTGTTATTGTGTTTATATGAGAATGCAGGGGCTGCCCCGTTTGCCGAGATCTTGGTTGCTCGAATGAAGATCTCAGCAAGCAGACTAGGGTTGGTTCACGTCATATAAACAGTTCCTAAGTAGAAATGAGAACTAGGCAATAAGGGTGTACTTCATCATACAAACTAAAGCTAAAGAGATGTCCCAACACCATTTTTACTTAATAATCTCTTGATGAATGCACTTTGATTAGTAATACATCAATTCAGGGAAGTTCAGGGAGCAAGGGTGACGCAGGGGGGAGAGCGCTCCCCTCCCACCAATGTGGCCGAAGTTCAACTCCCGGCGTCCACTGACTCCGTAGAGTTTATTGCAGTTTCTATAATATTCTGGCTTCACTCGCCATATGGTTATTAGTAGATCGATCAAGTTATTCAAATAGCGTGATGTCATTGTGACTTCAATTAACTGGATTAAGGTATCATTAATAAAGGTAATCATTATTTTTTCATCACTTCGGTAGATGTGAAAAACGAAAAAGACCCATAGCGTCCTTGTAGGCGTTCCCTACACTCCCCTCGCGCGCCCGGAATCCTCTTCCGCTCCCCTTTCAAACGCCTGTCTCGCACGCTACCAATTCTGTTGCACCTATAACTCTCTTTACCACTCAGATTTTTTGTTTTTACTAGGTTAATAAAATAAAGTGCTCTTTCAACTCTGACTCTGTCGAGCTAGTAAAATCCAGCCTAAAATTTCTCCTGACTAAAGGAAAATTTCATGCGCGGTCACCAAAAAATACAAAGAACAGCCTCACTCACCAGAAGATGAATGCCAACTTATTAACTCGCCTGCCGTCCTTCTTCATAAATCCAAAATCATACAAAATATATCGTGGCTCATTGGTGAGTTGCTCCTTCATTCTATTGAACTGTGCTTCATCCGCTTCTTTTGTTTCAGTTTTGGATGGATTCCCACACACGTCAGCAACAATTTTCTTCTTCCCTTCAATGTTAAAGAGTGCAAACTTGTGCGTGCTTCTCATCTTCATATCGTTAAACAAACCGTTGATTTCAGCATCGACTTGGACTCCTGACATAGACTGTATCAACACAATATAAAAATAAAATTAATAATCTAAAAAAAAAACTTATTAACGTATCAGAACTGCTGTAAAGTAAAAAACTGATGAGGCTTATAAAATTGGTTATTTGAAATGTACTCTCAAACTGACCGAATTCCAAAAATGAAGCATTTTTGTGGACTAGAAGTGGAGAAAATGAAGACCAAAGTTGAAATATTGATAAATACATTATGAGTTTCAAGTAAAGCAGGGGAGATTACAGCAAAATTTGCTCACATTCTGCCTTCTACAATAAAGAACGATTGCGTTGATCATTCCTAACCACTTCCATATCTGAAAAAAGCCTATGGCCGAGGGTGTGAGTGTGGTTCCCTGTTTAGTTTACAACGACCTTCTTTGACTAAAATAACCCCGCTATTCTGATTGGCAATGTTAAATTAAGAATTAACAATGGGCATCTACAAGTATATCAAAGTACTGTAACTACTCACCATTGTGATGGTTGACGGTGACTTCAATTTTTAAAATACCTTGAAAGGAAAGAAGTTAAAAATTAGTTTGGGTGAAGCAAATTAATCTGAATATAGCTGTTCAAAATAAACTTTGCGGAGCAAAGGTGTACATGAATAGCACTTCAAAGTGATAAATCTTTGAATGCATATTAATCAACTGTAGCAACAAATTTTAGCAATTTGTGCTTTCCGCTCCTAAAGGGATAAATGTTTAGACTCCAAAGAAAACTAAAACAAGTTTTAGCATCGCTCCTTACCAATAACTTGCTTCTTGCTAGCTGCCTTCGAACTCTATGGTTTGATAAAAACTTTCATTTCTGCAGGTGCGTATATATATGTTTCCGGTGTGATGTAACATTCTATATTTATAATTAAACTGTGGGTTTCCTTCGACATCATTTACTTGAAATTAAAGCGAGCTCATTGCACCTTTTAAGGAAAAGACACGGAGCGTAACTGGGCGATGAGAATTACGCAATGACAAAAATTTGCATAACACTGAATTATAAACAGTTGATTTGTTATTGTTTTAAAGCCTGAATATAGAAGTTGTCATGCAACAAATCTTCTCTAGACTAGTACCAATCAACTTCTAAATTTATTTTAGTGAAGGAGATTCTAAAAATTAATTTGCGACAACGTTGAAAATTTACGTACGCTGACCGATCAACTTTCGGTCTAAAGGTTTGAAGGACGCGAGTACACGCGCGCATACGGTGTATTATCTCCTTTTATGGTGTATTTTACAAATTCGATCTTTTATAGAATAAAGACATAATAGATAAAGTTTTCTTTGTCACGTCATAGTCCATAAAATTGTCATGCGCCTTATGATAAACCTAAGGAATCTTAATACCTATATATTGGATATAATTCACGATTGCTTTGTCATGTTAACAATGTTTGCCTTATAAAATGTGTCAGTAGTTGCTAACTAGTATTTAAGAGTTATAATGGACAAAAATGGTCTCTAGATCTAGCGACAAGTAAGGCTTAGACCAAACGTGGAACTTTTCAAGAGACGAACCAAACTTTGTGAATGAGTTTGAATTTTCTATCCGTTCTATCCGTCTACTTTAGACGGATAGAATTGAACGTGTGAACATCGTCTTCGAGACAAACGTCGATCTTCGCGTGCGACGAACTAAACCAAGAGACTAAACTTTTGCATGATGATGTATATTTGTATTCGTTCATTTGTTCTCACGATCTTAACTTAATTTAGACAATTTAGGTGGACCCAATTAGAGTTTGCTTCTTCTTAACGAAAGTTCGACGTTTGGCCTTGGCGCAAGGGAACTGTCCAAAAATTTTCCATAGCCTCGCACAGGTTTATTCCCGTAATTATTTTATTGGACAAAAACATTCTTAAAAAAGTTATGATCGCTCCTGTCCCTACTGTATACATTACCAAAATAGGATACGCATTATGTCACGTCATGCAAAGTAAAGACACTTGTCGCTTTTTACCTGTAAGCCATACATAATAAAAAAGTTCAACTTTGTTTTGCATGTTTTAAAATTAAATACAGAGATAAGGAAACTCTTTCTTCCGGTAAGAGGGGTATCTGCAGAAAACTTTGCGATACTCATTACAATTCAGTACAATTGTTGTGTTACGTAATACGTCATCGTACTGTATTGTGGTCTGTGAAGAACGAAACGCTTATGCACTTCATTAAGCACGCTCTCATTTCCCAGAAGTTTAGATTTTAAGTAATTTCATGTATTTTCTGAATGACAGACAAAAAAATTATGTATTGAATGTAGGTGAAGCTTAACTTGGTTGCTACAGCGCGACATCTTTAAAAGCAAAAGCGTGCTCGCGTGTTCCTGCACTGTAGAAGCAGAAGTATGGGGCGAGTCGTCTCTACTTTCAATTGATAAACGATTGATCGATTCGACTATCGGGGCTTCGGCTCAGTTCTGTTCAAGAGAGAAATGGTGATTTTTATCCCCTGTTCCCAAGCCACAGAGGCAAAAGGGAACACATATTTGTTTACTAGGTACATTTTTGGTGATCATGTCTTAAAAGATCTTTCGTACCCCTTTTCAGTAACGTTCTGCAACATATTCGCTTGCGATTTATGCAGTGTAATAACAAAAGGAACCCTATTCAGCCTCATAAGTTCTCGTGGCATTTCTGTAAAACTGTACGATCCATAGGTTTGATTGAAATAAAAGGACCGTTCCTCTGATACCCTGCTAACATTCGCGTCGTTGGCGCGTGTCAACTACGCGAATGTCCGCGACGCGAACGACTTCGTAATTGCTTAAACCATGTCTGATAGCAGGGTGGTATTCTTCTGAACACAAGGTCGGGTACATGATACTGTGTCGTTTTAAATAAAATAGATGAGGCTAAAGATGCCTTACTTTGTTAACAAAAACTTTTAACATCTTTCAAGAACAAGTCTAAAGAAGCTTAAAGAATTTGACCTTTTCTAGCTCAATTCTAACCTTATCAGTTTCTTTAAGGATCAAAATAATGAAATATAATTTTAATAACAAACAATATGCTAACTTGACTGATGCTACTTAATTGTTCTGGATCGCTTTTGTTAAAAACGTAATGTTTGTTGTTGTACTATAGTACACATTTTAAACGTTCCCGGCCTGAAAAAACTTTTTGCTTTCACTTGGCTGTTCTATAACTAAAGGCAACAGACCGAGCTTTCTATTAGCCAAGAATTATTGACTTGAGAAAACAGCAGACAGTGTTGGTGTTAAACACGCCTTTGTACCCTAAAGGGCTTAAGTTGATACAGAAACTTTTTATCTTCAACTTCTGTTGGTATTTACAATCTAAATCCTAAATAGGTTGTTGAAACTGGTTTTTGTCTTTGAACCACTTGTGAAGTATAGTATAACCTTTAAAAAATAAGTAACAAAGTTAGTGTCAATGAAAATAATATTGAAATGCCTGACACCATGTGTGTTTTAATATTTCTTTAATTTCTGAACAATCTAATGTTTGTTATTGTAGTAAAGTTACATAAAACCTTTCTCCTGAAAAACCTTATTTGCTTTCAATTATTTCTTATATAAAGCACAGAGCAGGATTATTTACCAGCTGCTGTTCAGGAAATGCGCCTGAGCGAAGGTTTGACTTGAGGAAACAGCTTAACAGCAGAAACTAACCCTAGCTTTCTATTGGTTTTATACTGAGGAATAATACCAATGTCCAGCATGGGTTATTACACACACCAGTAAACCTGTAGTATACGTTTCGATACAAGCTGTTTCGATAGAAATCGTTTCGATATAACTCTAAAGTAGTAGAATTACGACAATAAATTGTGATCACTTCAAGGATAGTTTTCGCGTAAACAAGACTCTTGTTTTGTTTTGTTTTCTCTTGTTTCTTTTAAAACATTCAGTTTGAATATTCTTTGTTCTTCAAAGTGCAAAAGTGTTCTTCCAAGCACGTGAAGCTATTTATACCTCGACTGAGTAAACGTGTATTCAAACGACCGGTAACGATTTGTGAAATGATTGTTAATAATTAATAATAATAATTTATTCATTTATAGTGCACTATAAATGTTTTACAACTTTTTTCCCACGAATGCCAAGTTAGGGTATCACAACATAAATTACTAGGTATTTAAAAGTCTGAATTAATTCTGTCTACGAAATGGCCGTCCGCCATTGTTGAATTCACTTAGACGATCAGAGATTACGGTTAAAAAATCGATCGGAGGCAGTTAGTGATATTTGTTGTCATCTCAACGGTATACGGGAGATAAACAAAAACAATACGGAAATTAAGTTGTATAGCTTGAGTGTCGTGTTTTGATGTCTGCTATCTAAGCTCTTTTTTCCACTTCTTCGCTTAGAGTTGTGTAATCCAAGTCGCACCCATCGTTTGCTTGGAATTCCAGTGATAAACCAGTGAAGAACTTTTTGATGGTGTCTTTAGAAGATGCGTAAATCATTTTGTCTGTAATCTTTGCATTTTCGTCACACCTAAAACAAGAAGTGAAGATGAGATGAACCAGCTCAGCCTGTTAACGGGGCTGTCTCGGCTCATGCCTTGTTTCCTTATAAAATTGTTGTTGTGTTAATATGAGAAGGCAGGCTGTCCCGTTTACCGTGATCTTGGTTGCTCGAAGGAAGATCTCAGCAAGCAGACCTCACCTCATATAAACAGTTCTTAAGTAGAAATGAGAACCAGGCAATAAGAGTGTACTTCATCATACAAACTAAAGCTAAAGAGATGTACTCAACACCTTTTTTTATTTAATAATCTCTTGATGAATGCACTTTTATTAGTAATACATCAATTCAGGGAGCAAGGGTGGCGCAGGGGTGGTACAGTGGTAAGAGCACTCACCTCCTACCATTTTGGCCCGGGTTCAAATCCCGGCATCAACTTGGTATGTGGGTACGGTTGAGTTTATCGCAGTTTCTAGATATTCTGGCTTCACTCGCCATATGGTTATTAGTAGATCGATCAAGTTATTCAAATAGCGTGATGTCATTGTGACTTCAATCAACCGG